GGGTGAGCTGCATAAGCCAAAGACCTCAACATTCTGCTTGAGAGTTTTAGGCCAGGTTGGTCATATGCAACATATTGTCTCACTCCATCTCATCTCCATTACAAACATGTGCCTTTAGCCTTATCCCTGAAACCAAAAACTATTAGGCTAATTTCCTTGGCCTTCTGCTGTATCCACCATGCTAATCACGGGAAGGCCACATTATTTCTCTACTCTTGTTCAGGTTTTACACCACTAGAAAACAATTTTAAAAATATGGAAATTGGTGTCACAAAAAGGTTATGATTTTCTGCAGCTTGGGAATCTTTCCTTTATCTCTGACTCCCTATGACTTTCCTCATGGGTCCTTTCTAGACATTTTAAATCCTATGTCCTAAGTTAAGACTGGAAAGAGTATGTGTTCTGGAGCCAGAAAGTTCTAAACTTAAAACCTGGCTCTGTCTTTATTCAGAAAGTTCAGTGGAGGTAGACAGGGTTAAGAGGGTCAAATATGTGGTGACAGAAAGAAATCTAACTATGGTAGGTGAACACACAGTGTAAATATATATATGCCTTACTGTTAAAGTGTACAGCTGAAATTTATTGGATTTCATTAACCAATGTCACCATAAAATAAATAAGAAAGTTCAGCAAAAGTTGAGTCTTTGAATATTATCACTAAAAGAATGAGGATAATAATTTACTCATTCATACCTCACAGAAGTATTAGATATAACCTAAGTGTAGCATACTTTGTTTAGTACTGCCCCCAGCCACCAAACACTGAAATGTCACACTATTCTCTAAGCTTAGCTAACTCCAAGGTTAGAACAATTATAAAGAATGGCAAAAAGATAAAGATAGTATAAGAGCCCCTGATTCTATGTTGATCCTAGGAACATGTCTTCATGAATATTATGTTCTCTATAGATATTTCATTTCAAGAAACGCATCTTATCTCCATCCTCCCCCTGCCTACAACACTTCCATCCTCATTCTCTGAGGATACCCATACTGAGACTTTACTCAGCAGATACGCATCTTCTCCATTTCGCTCCACTTTGTCCAAACTGTACTTGCCATTCTTTTTTACTTTTGTGGACCATGGTCATTTTGCTTCCTTTGACCTTCCCGTAAGACCACTTCTATAATTTGAACACCTAGCTCAACTCTAACTTACTTTGATAAACCTTCCTAGTCCCCCAGGTACTCTCTGATATCATTTTCTCCCCCCAAAGTATATTGCAAGACACCTGAGGGGCAGGCTTTGATTTGATCCATGTGTGTAACCCACTCCATAGTGTCTAGAATGGTGTTTTATATGTAGTACTTTATTAAATATTTGTTGACTGAGTGAAATGGTAAATCAATGACTCAGTGAGTCTGGTTTAAACATACTAACTTTGAACTGTCAGAGGGACAACCAGTAGAGCTGTCCATCACCCAGCTCAAGAATGGGATCAGGACTAAAGATGTACATTTGGCAGCAATATTCACTAGAGTGATATCTGAAGCTATGAAGCTCACAAAAACAAAATGTGCTGAGAAAAGAAAAAAAAGCTACGTCTAAAACATTTCAGAGGTAAAAGATGACAATGCAGCTAAGTCAAGATTATAATTCAATGATAAATCATAGAAAGAACAAATCCAAAGGAGTAGTCTCAGGAAAACCAAAAAAGAGAGCTCTGAGAAACACTCTAAAGGCATTGCTGTTGCAAAAAGACAGAAGAGGTTGAAGATGCAAAGGTTGCCACTCTATGTGGTGATTCGAAAGGTTTTGATGCCCTCCTAGCAAGTAAGATGTTAGGGGCAGAAGTAGGGCTGGAGAAGCGGAGTTATGAGTAACAATGACCAAAAGTATAAGACTATTCTTTCAAGAAGTTTGAAAGAAAACGGAGATAGAATCATAATGCTAAGGGAGTCTGGAAGAAGCTGTGAATATAAAATAACAGAGAAAAAGGTGGCTCAGTGGGTAAAGCATGGCACCAGCACTCAACTGTCACTGTTGTTACCACGAAGCAACAGAATGGGTGAAGAAGGACGTAAGTACTGATCTAATTCTGATGTCTATTCACCTGCATGGTCTTGGGAAAATCATTTTTCCCTCCTTTGGCTAACTTATCAGATTATTCTAATAGTATGAGTTAATAAGTGCAGAGGAATTTGAGGAACTTATCATTTTCTATAAAGGTCTTATCATTGTAATAGATGGTTTGTAATCTTGAACTGATATTTGTCATTTTTCAATTCCCCTCATCAGTGTGACAGAGAGAAGCTGAAACTCCCTCCTATGTAATATTGATCTACTTATTCCAATCCCAGCAAAAAAGGATAAGACAATGACAAAGAGACAGAGGAAGGCAGGATAAAGTCAGGGTATATGGAGTCAAAGCAGTGATGGCAACCTCTCCAACTCCTTTTAACATATAATCAGTCACTTTCCTAAACTGGGGGACATTAGTCAAGGGCTACCTCCCCCAGGTGGATGGAGAACTTCCAAAAGCTCATACCAGAACTGAGTGTGCCTGCTGTTTCTGTCAATCTGGTCTGTCTTGGCAGGGACATTATGCTAACTTGGAGGTTCCTAGCCAGTGAATAGGCTTCAGCAAAATCATCACTGACCTCACGATTGTCTTGAAAAAAGAAAACTGTGTACTTAAATAAAGTTTTTGTAGCTCCTTAGTTATTGTGTTTTGGGTTTTTATGCCTAAGAAAATGCTGCAAGCTCAGTGGTGATTTACCACTCAAATCATGTCATGCAGACTTTTCACCTGGAAGGGGTGGCTGTCCCTGAATGTTACCATGGCCAGGGTCAGTATAAACACATTCGATAGTTTTGTTGTAAACATTTTTGCCACAAGCATTTTTGCCACACAATGAATTGACCGTAAGGCAATTTCGCTGTAAAAGATAAAAGAAAAATATAAAGGGGTATTAAAAAGGGCATAATGAAACATGAAAAATAACAAAATCAAAGATTTTATTGCAAAAAATGAAAACACATTGTCTTCAAAGTTTTTCATTCATAGTATACATTTTAATTGCTTGATTTGTCTCCTTGTTCAGCCTTGCACTTTTCTTTTTCACTACCATTCCTTCCTTCATTAACAGAAGCATCAGTTTCTAATTAACAAATCGGTAATTAATGCTAAGACTGTCGTGCAATAGTAGCTGCCTCTTTTATGTTTGCCATAGCTTGGTAAACTTGGTTTTGTAGGGAGGGCATGACTGTGCTCATTGAAAGATTTGCAAAACTGTTACGTTATCATATTCAAGTATAGTAGGCAATATGGCTAAGATTTATACGATATAAAAATGAGAGTACTGCAAGAACTGTCAATGAAGAAATGAAACCAAACTAACAACTAGCTTAAATATATTAAGTCTGCTGAAGGCACGTGACTCATCAATGGAGAAATGAAACCAAACTGTCAACAATGAAGAAGTGAAACCAAACTAACAACTAGCTTAAATATATTAAGTCTGCTGAAGGCACTTGACTCATCAATGGAGAAATGAAACCAAACTGTCAACCAGTTATTTTCTTTCATGGCGAAATTGTCTTACTGCCACTTAGTTGTGCGGTGAAAACATTTGCTGCGAAAATGCTCGCAACAAAAATGCTTGTGGCAAAAATGTTTATGGTAAAACTACCCAGAACCCAGTGTAATATTTCCTCAAAACACTTGTGGGTGGAATATAGTATCACACAGAAGGTATATTTGCAAGAGAAGGTATCTTTGCAGATCATAGGTGGCATATTAAGGCCAACAAAAAGATACAGGGAGAAACTAGGCAAAAGTCTTTAATTAAAGCAGTTTACAGTGACCTTCCTTGACACAGCAGAATTTATTCTCTCATTCAATGAAAAGAAATGATAAATAGTGATTTAAATTGATTGGTAATGTAAAAGTCATCAGCATTTATCTTTAGGATCATTGTGGGTTTTTTAAATCTTCCCAATTGTATTTGGCTTAGGGTAACATTAAAATTAATTTTCATTCCATGAGCACAGCTGGACAGACTATCCACATGCCTTTTGTAATAAAAGACACTACAATTACTAGAGAAATCGACACGCAAAATGTTGGCTGTCTTTTTAAAGACTGAACTGTCTTCATTGACAGCTGTCATATGCTCATAGGAAGAAAAACAGTATTGGTAAGTAAAAACAGTAGCATTAAGACATATTAAGGTGGTATGATAAGGGTTGAAAGGAGAAGCGGGATTATAAGCAGAAGGTTCACTACTATTAATGAAAGTTAGTCTACTGAAATCAAGCAGAATCATTAGGGTGATTTCAGGGAAAACAGCATTTCTTACGAAGAAATGAGATAATGATATAACAAACCAAATTTATGAGACATTCATTAAACCTTTATAATCCTCACAAACATACAAATGATCCAATAGCAAATGCTGATGTATATGTGATGGAGGAGGGAGAATAAACAGTGAGAGCAAAAGACTCTCTCTAGGACTAATCCACTTTTGTTAATTCAACGAACATTTACTGAGTGCCTACTATGTGTACCAGTAGTCTGAGGACACCAATAACCACTGTTACATGATAAACTGGATGGAACCATGTGCAACCAACAAATGTATACCAACGGACTAGTTTCTACTGGATAAAAACTTTAAAAATTAACGGAGTTAACTGATAAACTCTAATTTATCTGGAAATATATTCCAGAAATGGAATAAGTATTGATTACATCAAAGGAGTTTTTACAAGTATGCAAACAGCGTTAAAAAAAGTACATTCAGGCAGATATCTCAGTAGATGGGGTAGTTTCACATATTTAGTCCAACAATTTGCTGAAATGTGACTCTGCCATTTTCTCAGTCAACTCATAAGGTATAAACAGTGTACATTTTCTGTTACTAACCGATTGCAACTCTAACAAGAGATTAATGAAAAACGCTTGGCAAATACATTCCACTCGTTGAGGGCTGCACATTAAATAAATGTATAAAAGCAAAACAGACAAAAATACATGCAAACACAATGCATATACCAGAATCAGACAAGGAGAGAGACAAGACTTGCAGTTGTTGGAATGTTCCAGGTCATCAGTTCTGTCCACTGAAAAAGAAACATCTAAGAACTTCACCATCTAGAGGCTTAGAACATAGACTTATTCCCCAAGTTTTTTAAATGGCTGTCCACCAGGAAGGGAAAAGGAGTACTGACGGTTCTTCCTAGGTCCATTCAAGGCAAAGGGGTCGAATAGCTTTAGATGAGTGGGACTGGCAGGTACACTTAAGGCAAAGGAGTAACAGGTACGAAGCCCAGTAACTCCAGTTAGAAAGCAAAACACTAAGTTTTAAAAGGTGAGGGAAAGAAGGCGGAGAAACCACAGCAAGCAAAAGAAAATAAGAGGAAAGCAATACAACGTCGGAGAATTCATCGAACCATCTCCACCACTCTAAAAGGTAGGGGACTGGAAAAGTCGCAAGGGCCGGGATCCTGAGGTCCCGGAACTCAACAACCAGCCTGAAGCGGGTGACGGGGAGCAGTTCCCGGGAACCCACTCCCGCCCCTCTCCCATCAACCCCGCCCATTGGGTCCGCCCCATCCCGCCCGGCAACTCACCGGATTCGCTTCCCACATAACGGTGGCGAAATCGAGCGGAGAGAGCCTGGGGGAAAGGGCTAGCCGCGGGGCCGGGGTGTTGGGTTTTTTCCAAGGCTGCCTGAGAAGGAAAGGATGGAGAGGCAACCTTTACTCAGGCCTTCCTTCTCCCCCTCCCAGTCACAAGCCAGCGTCTTCGGACCACCGAACCTCCCGACTTCCGCCCGAAGCCAGCCAACCAGCGCTGGCCCCGCCCCGCCCCCGGAAACGCGCCCCGCCCCTGCCTCTCCCAGGCTCTGCGGGTGGGTTGTAGTGGGCGGGGCTTGGGAGTATCTGGATTGTAATGGACTTTAAACGGCTTCTAGTTCAAACGACCCTTCCAGTGCTAAACCCCACTGTAACATCCCCACCAAGTGATCCTCAAGCCACGGTTAGTTGTATTTCCTTCAATATTTATTGATCACCATATCGTTTGTGTAGTGGCCAGGAGACAGGCCTGGGAGTTGATCCCAGCACAATCAGTGGCATTTGGGACAAGCTTCACAATCTGACTGGTTCCTCATCTTTAAAATGGAGATGATAATAATATCTACGTAAGGTTGTAGTGACATCATTTAAAGCACCTAGCATAGTATTTGGCATACGATAAGAGCTAATAAATGACAGTTACTTGCCAGACACTGCTAGGTTCTGAAGTGAACAAGATTGATCCACATTGCAGTCCATGCCCCCATGGAGGTTAGAGTCTAAAGAAAAAAGCGAAAAGTGAGTAGATAACTAAAAAAGTGCAGAATGGCTTATAGGTATTACAGCAAGTACAGGGTTCTATGAAAGCACGCTTACCCGGGACAGGTTTCTGCTGCTTCCCTTCTCCCACAAGAAGTCTAAGCTAAGACCACAAGGATATTCTTCTAATGAAGTTACCTGGGTAAAGAGAGCTAAGAGAGGGGAAGAATCTTCGACGAAGAGAAGTGGAAGCTACCCATGGGAAACAAAAAAGAAATAGTTTGCTATAGATCCTTCTGGGATTTTCTATACCTTCACACATTAAAAGAAAAATTGACGAAAGAATACCTATATATTTAAAACCTGATATTTCCACTTAATATGATGTGGCCGTTCTTTATTTCAAATATAAATTTATTTCATCATTTTAAAGTCATCATTTTACAGACTCAACATTTCTTGGTTTGTATGTTACACATACATTTGAAAAAATCCATTGTGATAGACATTTAAGTCATTTTCAGTTTTTACTATTCCAAAAATTACAGCAATAAACATTCTTGTACTGACATTTCTGTATATTTGCCCATTTACCTCTTTGGAATTAGTTCTAAGAAATGGAATTTTTCAGTAAGAGATTATGGAAATTTCAAATTTTGATACATATTGCCAAACTACACTCAAAAACAGGGTGTAAATTTGCAATCTCTAAAATTTATCTTTACAAATGGTTTGAAGTAGGGATCCTCACTTTTTTTTACTTTACTTTTTGCCAGTGGTTAACCAGTTGCCACTTACTGAATAATTCATTCTTTCCCCACTACGTTAAAGTGCTACCATTAATCAAAAACTAAATTTGTGTGTATCTGTTTTTGAATACTCTTGTCTATTCTATTATCTATCTGCTTATTCCTACGCTATGCCACACTTATAAATATTATAACTTTGTAATATATTTGCTCTCTCATAAAGCAAGTCCTAATTCTTTTAAAATTTTCTAAATCATTGAGTCTTATTTAGAAACACATCTCTTCATGTCCTTTATATCTTTAAATACACACAAATAAATTCACATAGATTTGCACAATTCTTGTGATGTTTGTTCCTAGTTTATAGTTTTTGTTGTATTTTTTATTGCTCTAAGTTAGCAAAACTATTGATTTTTGCATATTTTTATTATATCCTACTACACTGTGAGGATGTCTTATTAGTTCTAATACCTTTTCAGCTGATATCTCTGGATTTTTATGTCGACAACCATATCACACACAGAGAATGCAGTTTTCTATCTTCTCGTTGCATTGGCCAAACCTCAGAAAATTTTTGAAGAATACAGGACAAGATAATGGGAGTTTAGTCTTTAATGCAGTAAGACACGCATTTGCCCCTAGCTGGTGCTAGATATTCTTTAAATACACTATCGTCTTTTAAAAAATTTCTTCTATTCCTAGTTTACTATAAACTTCTAACTGGGAGAAGATGTTAAATTTTATGAACTGTCTCTTAAACTCTATTACTATATTCATTTTTTAACCCTGACTTATGAGTATAATGAAACTAGTAAGTTTCCTAATGTTCCACCCATACTTACATTTTTGAAGCAACTCTGCTTCATTGTGTATTCATTGTTTTTCGAAAACACTTCTGAGTTCAATTTGTTAATCTTTCATTTAGGATTAAAATTTACTATAATTAATGAAATTGGTCCATTTTAATGGTGTTTTATTGTGATTGTCTTTAGCAAGTTTTGTTAAGTGGACAGTAGCAGTTTAAGTAATTTAGGAATAAGCTCTTCATCAAAGGTGGAATGGATTTTACAAAGCAAGTTAACTGGGAAGATTAGGACCAAGTCTTCAACCTTTTGTGGAGTTGGGCCTATAGGTCATTTCTTTGAAGCTTTTTGTTTGCCTGAGCTGGTGGTCAGAGGAGGGGTTAGGGAGAACCAGTTTGAATATATATATGAGGTAGATAAATTTTTAAGATATACTGCTATATCCCAAACTAATATGGAGGAAATGTATTTTATAAACCGAAAATAGTTGTGCATGTTTTAGTAATTTATTATTATTATTATTCTTGATGTATAACTGCTTAGAAAGCAAGTGTGGGAAAGGGCCTTAATGTTCATTTAGGCCTGGAGTTACAAACTGATGAGCTTTAGCACACACAGAGTTTTTAAAAGTTTTTATAAATGGATGACATTTTAAAACTGGGGCATTTTCCATTAAATAATGTGGATCTTCAGCTTTCCTTCAACACTGTATTCTCGTATGCCAACAAGTGGCCAAACCCTGCTGACCCATTTAGACTGAGAATGGGCTCTCAGGTTTACCTGAGTTACCTGACCAATATCTCTCATCCTTATTTAAATGATCTACCTGGGCCCTGGAGGTATTTGCGTTTGTACTAAGTATAAACCACCTCGTATTTTGCTAAGGAAATATAATGGATATGGAACTTCTAAAATATCCTTATAGAGAACACCTTCACTATACTCTCCCATATCTTTCTCAAGGGTATGGGCTCAATCATTGGGGTTCAACCTCTCAGTCTTTCAACGGATTACTCTCTACATGTAATGACTGAAATGTGACAGTCTGGCACTAGGAATGCTTCCTTCTGCATCATAGTCCCAGGCAAAGTTCCACAGAGTAGAAACTATGCATATGAACCACGGTGGCAGTTTTCACAGGAAGACCAAACAAATGCAAGACATTTTACTTTATCTTTAATGTTTTCTATTTGTGTTCCAGAGGGAGGTGTCTTAAACCCAGCCCTGAGTGATTGCAGCCCCCCTCCCACCTGGTGGATTTCATGAGCTCTTTGAATGCCAGAAGGGGCAGGAGGAAATGCCCCAGGAGAAAGGATGGTGAAGAAGAGGAGCAGAAGAGACCTATCACTGGAAAGCATGGAAATGATCAGTAAATAGGTAGTTGAGCTGCGAGGTAAATTTGTGAGGGAACAAAATCAATCTCCTGTAAAGACATTAGAAGGAGAAAGGAGAACCAAGTAAGTGGTGAGATGCAGGATAGAGTACACATTACCTATTATTTTAATATTATTTTCATATATTTTTTTTTAATTTTTAAAGGCCACGTTTCCCAGCCAGAAATGGGGAGCACTGGGAATTCATATGGAAGACACAGGCTGGGTTTGACAGAAAAGAGGAGTAGAAGACTGGAAGAAGGCGCAAAATAAGAGATGAGGGGCCGCAAGAGGGTACTGGAGTAAGGGAGAAAAAGCTGCATTTGTGCCCATTAGCCTTGAATATAAAGACCCAGCCTCAGTTCTGAAAAAGAGCCAGCAATGAGGCAGCCCCAGAATCAGCCCTACTGCTGAAGTCTGACACGTTAACAACCCAGCGGGAATTAAGAGGTGAAATCAGCAGATGAAACAATTGATGAAGCCGAGATAAGCATTCCTGGGAAGGAATTTTTCAAAAAATCAACATGAATCTGTAAATTTTCCTAATCAGGAAATATGACAAAAAATTAAATTCAACCGAAAAAAATGAAGTGCTAAATAACTCACCCACGCTAAATGGAAAGGCTCTATTGAAAATACCACTGATTATTAGTTTTAGCTGCTCAGGGAAATTATCTAGGCACAATGATGGGCATCAACATTCAGCTCACAGCAGCAGTCAAAAGCAGCAGCTGAGATGTGTGGCCATCCTAATTAGAGGATGGAGAATTCTGAAAAGGCTCTGGAGCTGTGACATTCCTGGCTGAGGTTTTCCTTCTAGGAATGCCATATTAGGGTTTTGGTCATCACATTGTAAAAAAAGGACTTAATAGGAATGATCCGGAAAGGGACAACAGAAATGACTTGGAAAAGAGTGTGAGAAGCTTTGAAGTTAAAAGCAGAAAGTAGGAAAACACTTCTAAAAGAAATCATTTTCAAAATTAAGAGAGAGAGAAGCAAGTAAAAGCCTAAAATGATGGTAAGGGCAGGCTGAAGGTGTACTGTCTGCGCTTAGGCCTTTACAGACATGTTGGGGGCTTTCACCTCTTCCTTTGGAGCACATCCGGCGAGGTCAAGAAATGACAACAGATTATCCAACATGAATTATTCTTCCATTTTTCATTGCAGCAAATATTTAGTAAGTGCCCTCCATGTTCCAGGTACTGTCTCTAGCCTTTTAGGATACATCAGTGAACAAAATAGAGAAAAATCCCTGCCTTTGTGAAATTTACAAGCTGGGGATGGGGCGGGTAGGTGGGCAGACCTTGGGCTGGGAGTGGGGAAAACAGATAATGTAATATAACAAATTAAGTGCATTGTATAATATGGTATAAAGTAATAAGAACTATAGAAAAAAACATAGATCAGGGTAAGGGATGCTGAGAGTAGTCAGAATATCCTCATTGAGAAGGTAACATATGAGGAAAAATGTGGAGGAGGTAAGGGAGCAAGCTTAATGGATATCTGGGTAAAGAGTACTCCATGCAGAGCGAACAGCTGGTACAAAGTTCTTAAGGAGTGTCTGTGTGTTTGGGTGTGTGTATTTGGAGAGGGGGAAGCAGGGGAGATGTGTAGGTTGAACAAGGCCTGGTACAACAATCAGCAAATACTTACATGGCACTAAATATGTGCCTGATAGTGTAATAAGCTCTTTGTATACATATATATAAACGAATATAATTCTCACAGCAACCCTATAAAGTAAGTACTCTTATTGCTCCCTTTTCTATGTAAGGAAACTAAGGCTCAGCAATTAACTTGGCCAAAGACCAAAGATCCAAACCTAGGTGCCTGGCTTTGGAGCCCGAGCCCCTAATCACTACTCTATGCCGTCTCTCAGTGTGCTTTCAACCTGTCTACTTCTGATTACCAGCCCTGATCACCCAGCTGCAATTGGAATTCAAGTACTCTCCTAGGATAAATTCATGTTCTTTTTAAAATGGAAGTGTTGCTCACTGCTTTATTACATATGACCCTTCCATGGCCCTTTGCTTTCTTCTCCCACCAATTCAAGAATTGCTCTTTTCTGCAAGTTCATCACTGGGGTCAGTTGTTTCTGCCCAGAAAACCAAGGAAATGTCTATGGATGGAGCTTTGGTTCAGCTTGTGAGGGGAAGTTGGGGGGCAATGGAAGGGTGCGTCCGTGGATTAATAATGCCCTATAGATCACTAGGAGGAAAGACAGAGCATAACTTGTGTTTAAGAACTAGATGTTGCCATTCCTTCTATTCCAAAAATCACTGTGTGGAGGTACATTTGTAACACGATGGTCACTAGCTCTTCTCATGCCTTCTGTGTCCTGTTCTCTCACAACACAGAACCTTTATACTAAAAGCCGTTGAATTACACACTTTAAATGGAGGAATTGTATGGTATGTGAATTTTATTTTAATAGAGCTCTTAAAACAATTAATTTTTTAAATAGATAGGACCTTGGCTTTTACCACTCTTGCCTACTTTCCTTCTGATCTCTTTCCTCCTTCACATAGCTTCAGGGAGCCCAGGAACACACGCAGAAAGATGTTCACTGTTCCTAGACTCCAAGGTCTCCACCCAAAGCGACAACTTTGTTTTGACTCTGAGGCTTACAGCATTATGCCAAGGAAAATAAAT